CCTGCCCGAAGGCCGCTGATTCACCGCCGATGTCTCGGTGCATATTGGACGCGCAGGAATCTACAAAAATCGAAAAACTGTATAATAACAAAAAACACATATGGAATGGTAAGGACTGATAAAATGTTAATTGGCATTCATGCAAATAATCGGCCAGTTAAAATTGCTAGCATTTTAAGCAAGTTTTAATAAATTAGAGGACAACGACCACACATCTCCAGCATGCCGTAATGTCCGCGCAGTCCCCTAGGAGTTATGTGTGCGAACACGGAATTTGCATTAAAAAAAATCATAGGAGTTTTCTTGAACGAACACAGCCAACGGAGAATTAGAGAGAGAGGTAGTTAGAGCTGTAGAAGTAGGGATTCTAGCCCGGCAGCAGTGCAGCGTTTCATGGAATCAATCTAAGAGCAAAACACCAAAAAAACCCCGCAATAAAGCCGAACTTACAGATCCAGCACAGCACAACAAACACATACACAAACTGGCATTGTAGATGTTAGTGAAGCGAAACGTTGAGGTAAAAAAGTGGTGCTGCAACCAGGGAACATGATTTCCACTTCCTCTGTCTTCCAGGCTGCTCTTTAGCAGCATGAAAATGGCCCTGTATTGGGAATTGAAATACACCATTTTCACAGGAAAATGGCTGCAATTTGAAAGAACATGTAAAGATTAGTCATTTTCAACGAATGAGATTTTCAGCCTAGATTTTGCGGGAAAGTGATGCTCAGGCGAGGAATGGGGAGGCGCACTGTTCGAGTTCGTTAGTTCTTCACCAACAAATAGAAGTATTTTTAAGTTACAAAAAAAAAAAAAAAAAATTCCTGAATTTAGAAAAATTACGCATGAATTTATCGGCATCAATAATTTACAACAAAAGTAGCGTTAATTAGAGATACTCGGAATATAATCGATAATAAACAATGAGCGGACGGACGAGTTCGCCTTCTTCACCCAGAAAACAACAAAACATCGTTCAATGATGCAAATTATACTAAAACTTATCAGGGAAGGTTAAACTGTCCCTCTCTCCCTCATCCTCTCTCTTTCCGGCAAAAACAGTTCCAGCTGCGCAATAATTACACGACTCTGTAATGAACCCGCAGTCTTTCTGATTTTGAAACTCAGTTTGCCTCCATGGCTGTATTCCATGGCCTGATATCTAGAAAACATTCATCAGACTACGCGCTCTACACGTGTT